AATCCCCACTCTGCCATGGAAGCTCACTGGGTGACCTTTGGCCTAAGGGTACCTCACATGGACCTTGTGAGGTAAAAATGGGAAAGGGAGAACTATGTACATTGCACGGATCTCCTTGGACGAAAGGCAGGACAAAAACATAACAAATAAACCAATTAAAAAGCAGCCCAACCCAGCAAACCAGGAGTACTCCCACTCTTTGACTGTCCCTTCCTCAGCCTTGGCCGCCATCTTAAAGATCTTGCTATACTACAAGAAGAGGCCCTAGAGTTCAAACTCCTGCATGACCCAGGGACCTTGCTTAATCCACATTCACATGTAATAATGGATCTCATTCTTGTTGCTATACGGCCAGTTATGGCTGTCTCAGATCCACTATTTATCAATCGATTAACTGAATCTTGTTTTACATTGGCCTCTCTTTCTAATGTCCCTCTCTCACACACATTGCATATGAAAATCAGGCCTGGTGGTTATACATTTCCAGCATCTACAGATGGAAGCTCTAACTCACGAAAGCTTGTGCTGAAATATATTTTGTGCTGCATGACTCCTGAGTAACAGCAGACTAACAGAGCGACCCCTGTAGAACACAATCCATGAAATTCATACAAACATAGAAGATTTTCATGCCATAGCAAATAGTATGTATAATATGACTACTTCAAGTCCAGCAAGTTTATGCACAGCAAAACACTCCTTTGTCAGGAATCACCTCCCTGTGCGGCCATCAAATAGTATGTATAATATGACTACTTCAGCAAGTTTATGCACAGCAAACCACTCCTTTGTCAGGAATCACCTCCCTGTGCGGCCATCTATCCCACCCTTGATTTCCATCCTGTTCTTCTTTGGCCGCAGTCTCTCAGCCAAGCACTTCATTATTTCTTTCTAGAGGGTGCATTACAGAGGATTATTATAGGAAGGGAGGATCCCAGTCAATTTAAATCATGGCTTCTTCCGAGTGATGGAGCGCAGCCATTTCTTTAAGAAGATAGAGCTCATTAACTTCATTTGAAGCAGAAAGTTACAGAGTTCAACCGAGGCAAAAACCCGACCAGCCCGTGCAACAGTGTTATGTGGCCAGTCACAGACAGGCAACTCAACAGTCTGCCACTTTCATTCCAATTTGCAGCAGAATGAACGGGACACGGTGATGAGTCAAAACTGCCAGTTTTCCACTGGCTGCTTTCTAGATCTTGAGTCTACATTTTTTTCTATTTTTGTAACAATTCTTGGCTAGTATCTTGTCCAGTGTGTGTGTGTGGGGGGGGAGACTGTTCCTTTGTTTACTTCTTGTATATAAAGTCTGTACCAAACACACAAACAATTGCCTGATCCAGGTGCTGCCCTGCCCATGTGCAATCAGAAGAAATGCTGTATGATATCCTTAGGTGGGTAGCCATGTTTGTCCAAAGCGGCAGAACAAAGTTTGAGTTCAGTGGCGCCTTTCAGACCAACAAAGTTTTATGCTGGGTATGAGCTTTTGCGTCCACACACCCTTTCTTCAAACTTTGTATGATATCCGTGACACTTCTTAGCCCCTCAAGGCTGAGCTGGCCAACAGACAGTATAAGCAAAGCAATACAGCATTCAGAGGGGAAGGATTTTTATGGCTTCCTTTCCTTTTATTGCAAATGAGCTGGAGTCCCAGACCCAAACATGGAACCAATACCAGACTATTCTCCCCCAAATAGCTGTTAAGTCTGCAAGCACTTTATTGAAGGATCCAAAGTGCAAACAGTTGCAGTCTCTTGACACGTGTAGTTGTTGTTTTCCAAAACTTGGTTTTGCATTAAAAAAAAAAAATTCTTAACCAGTAGGCACAAGGGAAGAGTTAAGCAAACAGTCTGTCGACAGCTGCAAAATCCAGCTCAATTTCTTGCTAGTTTTGCTCTGAACGCTCTCTGTTTACTACTGTCTTGAATGCATTCTGATGTGGGAAGAAGCCCAGTATAAGCACCATCAGGAAGACAAAAAAAAAGACACCCTATCTAAGCCTCATCCAAACTTTATCCACCACACGCCATCCCCCAACATAATGAATCCACCTTTTCATGTGAGCTGTGTAGCCTTGAGCAGATCCGTAATCATTAACAAAGAGCTAATAAAGACAATGACTGCTATTTTTTCCCCAATGTCTCTACAAGACAGGCTGTCATTGGAGATGAAAATTAAAGGGCAGAGAAAGTGGTTCATAACAGATTGCCTAGGGTTGCCAACCTCCAGGTAGCACTTGGAGATCTCCCACTATTACAAGTGATCTCCAGATGACCAAGACCAGTTCCCCCAGAAAAAAATGGTTGCTTTGGAGTGTGTGCTCTATGGCGTTATGCCCTGCCGACGTCCCTCCCCTCCCCAAATTCCAGCCCCCCCCCCAAACCTCCCCGTATTTCCCAACCCAAAGCTGGCAATCCTAAAATTGCCCCATCACAGTCTTTTGATGGACAGGGAGGCAGACAGAGTCTTCTTTAAGAAAAAAAGAAACAAACCACCAGAAACCCATGCAAAGTGTCATCCAGAATATTTCTCCAGCTGCAAAAACCCAGACGGCAATCCACCCTCCCATCTTAACTGAAGAGTCACACATCTTGAAATGTTAATTATTTTGGAACAAGGAGAAGATGCCAATGTTTGGAACCAATTTAAAATAAAATTTGGCATACAGTGAGATCCTGCTTTATGACCAAATAAAATCAGAGCCGAGAGGGTCTTCCTGGAATGTAGGAAAGCCAAGTTTGCATCCCCCGGCGACCACGAAACACACTGGGTGGCCCTGGGCAAGTCACGCTACAATTCAGCCAAGCCTACCTTACGGGCTTGTTGCAAAAACCAGATATGCCCACCCAGAGCTCACCAAGTACAAAATTATAGCTATTTATGCATACGGCGTCATTTATGTACATGATGCTTTACAGAGTAATATCACATAACGCCCTGAAGAGTTTGCATTCTTCAAGGGCTTACAAGGAAACAAAGAGATGGAAGAGGCATCGACACTTTAGGGTTGCCAAATTCCTGGAGATCTGGAGTTGGCCATGGAAAGCATTCAGTGGGGTTCTGATTCCTCAGAGTCTGCATTTTGAAGTTGCTATTTCCTGCTGGGGAACCGACCTCTGTAATCTGGACATCCTCAGACCCCACCTGGAGCATTTACTGTGGCCTAAAGAGATAGTACGTATGTGATGGGTACATATGTATACAAGACATGCTGGGACTCCTGGCAGAGAAGGGAAACGAGGAAGATGCTGCTGGCAGCAAGTTAGCAGCAGCTGAGGGCCTTCTAGGCTGATTTTTCTCCTCTTCTTCCTGCAGGCAGTGTTCCCTCTAAGCTGAGTTGGTGTGAGCCAGCTCACAGTTTTTTACCCTCTGGCTCACACATTTTTGTCTTAGATCAGGAAGGATGGCTCCAGAGCAAACATAATTTATGCAGCAGCCAAATTGCTCACTCACATCTTTAATGCCAGTGGCTCACAAAGTAGAATACTTGCTCACACGACTCCACAGCTTAGAGGGAACTTTGCCTGCAGGTATTTAGCCTGGGTGGGGCAAGGGGTGCAAGCCGAAGGACAGCAGCCAGATGGCCTGTACTAGTCAGCTTGTGGGCCAGCCTAGATTTGTTTTCTTTGTCTATTTGTTTTTAGAATTGCCCCCTCTTTGGGAGAAAAGCAGCCTAAAAATGCTTAAATAAATAAAATTATGCTTGGGAGGAAGAAAGGAAGACTTTGAGAGCCCCAAAGAGAAAAGCAAGAAACGATTTATTTAAACAAAGCAGGGGGATGGACATGAGCAAGTGCAGTTATACCTACATGGGCTTCATTTCACTCATGGACAGGGGGGGTTATAGGACAGAAAAGGTTCGCTGAAGGACAGAAAGGGAGAAGCCTATCTAGCCGTTATGGAAGAGTGTGGGCAGGGGAGGACTAGGGAAAGTAACTTCTCAAGAGGCTTAATGAAACAGACCCTTGCATCCCCTTATCGAGCTCATTATAAAGTCAGACCGATGTTGCACTGGTGCTAAGGAGATGCTCTGATGGTTCTCTGGGTGTGCCATAAAGTGACAATGGTGACCAGACCGCCTCCCATTTCTCCTTCCACCACCACCACCCCTACGCTGGCGTGGTGTAGTGACGGACTAGTACTGGCAGCCCCAGGTTTGAATTGCCACTCATGCCATGGAAGCTTGCTGGGAGACCTTGGGCCGGTCATACTCTCTCAGGCTAACCAACTCACTGGGTTGTAGTGAGGATAAGACGGAGGAAAGGAGAAGGGTGTAAGTCGCTTTAAGTCCTACTGGGGGGGGGAAAGGCAGGGTACAAATGGATTAAATAAATAAACAAATCACCCCAGACAGGGCATAGCAGTGCTGCCGCGGTGTATTACCTGCTGTGCTGCTGTGCTATAGCTGGGCAGGAGGGAGAGGAGCAGAGGAAAACGAACCCAGCCTGTTTACATGGATTTTAAGCTTGCAGAAAAGAAAACCACAACAGACCTACATATTTTAACGCACTCTGTCAACACAGCACATGCTTCAGGCAACTAAAATAACTCTGTCACCTCCTGTTGAAACAGGACAGTATTGCCATCCATTTGAAAGACTTAAAGGACCAAGCTCCGGACAAATACAAGGAGGAGGATTCAAAGGCAGACGGCAGCTACCAAAAACATCTCTGCATATGACTCATACTTATGTACCTATCTGTATTTACTCACAAGAATGACTAGCCTCAGCGGACCACAGAAGTCCCAGCAGGAAATCACTGGCAGGTGCATGAAGAAGACGGTTAAAATGCACTGGCAGCGCCATCCTAAGTGGACTTACACCCTTCTAAGCCCATTGTCTTTAACGGATTTAGAAGGGTGTAACTCTGCACAGGACTGTGTAGCAAGCTACCAGCTTTTGGTGAAGCGGAAGCAGATGGTAGCCACCCACTCAACCACAAGTAATAAATAGTACACAAAAGAAAAAACGTGCGTGGGGGGGGGAGATACCCTCTTACCTTCATAGCATGGGATTAACTTCCTACCATAGGATCCCAGATTGGGTGGAATGACATTGCAGAAGCCATGTGGAAGAATGTACTCTGTCCTGTAGTAGACATTTTTCCAACGATGTGCACAGGCCTAAGGAAGACAGACCACACACGAAATTGAATGTTCAAACCTGGATCCAGGATATTGGCAGATGAAGACTGACGGTAGTTTTTTCAGAGGGCTGGAGGACAGAGATCATGGCACATCGTACTTCAGAAACCTACACGCCCTATGTCCAGGGTCCGTGCCCGCCCCCCCCCGACTCTGCAGGCACTCGGGCCGTAACCCCTATCACCCCAGGAGGCCTGGGCAACAAGGGCCTGTTAGGGCCATGTGTGACCCAGCAGCCCCAACAGGAAGAGAAGGGAAGACAGGCCCCGCCCCTGCAGGGGATGAGGGTGGAGCCAAGCCCAGAAAGGGGGCAGGGCAGGATGCGGCAGGTGCCCCACCCGATGCACTCAAGGTGCACAGCTGTAGACCCTCTCACCTCCCTCTCTGAAGGAAGATGAGGATTGGTGGGAGAGGGGAAGGGGGTAGATTGGGAGGCTGATTTAAGCCAGGCAGCCTGGGCAGGTTGGGAAGGAAGAGCACGCATCTCTCAAAGGGGAAGCAGGACGACTAAAGAGAGGGTCCCCAAGAGCGTGTGAGCTGGATTGCGAGATAAGGGTAAGATTGCCCCCCTCCTTCAGCTATATCTGAGGCCTGCCATTCTGTCGCTACCTGCTACAAAATCATGTCCTGGAGACCCCAAATCCATGAGTGACCACCCCAGAGGAGCCAGGACCTGACACCCTATTTGACAAGAGGTGACAAAAAAAAATCAGTGCACAGAACAGGCGGTGACTAGGTCTCTCTGTTATATTCACTTTAAACTGCTGTCCTCTTTACTTTCCGACAGCAGAGTATTTATCAGCAGCCCAGCCTCAATTCTTTCTTCAGGCCTTCTCTATGTGGCCACCTCCAGACCTTACAGGGCAAGGCATACACCAACAACCACATGGGTGGTCAAGCAGTCCTTCACTGTTCTGGCTAATTGAAATGTAAGCCATGTGGAACAAGAAGTTATGCCCTGTCAGACCACATGGGCTCACCACAAGCACTGTGGTTCCACCCAGACAATGCGTGCAATGGAAGAGGAACTCAGGCACCATGAAAACGAGGCACTCAGTTCCAGTACCCTGTATCAATATATTAAGTGAAACGTTGCTAGAAAAACTGGTCCCCACCCAAGGTCTTGTGACGGAGGAGGGGATGGCTCTGGCTCCAAATACACCGAGCAGGACCACCAAATTAGATTTCTGTAGAGGAGCTGATATTCTCAGTAGAGCTTAATTTGAATATATCCAGGACTGCTGTGGGAAAAGTATTTTCCGTCTATTACTTCTACTTTTTATTAATATTACCAACCCAGGCTACAGGTTTCATATTGGTTTATTTCCAGTATGCTGCGTTCAACAGCATTAATTTATTTATTTACTAAACTCAGATATGTATCATATGGGCCCATTGATGCTCCTGGCCTTAAACAACACTCTGAAGCTCTCTCATAATCAGAATGAGGAACGCATTCTACAAAAGATGTTTATAATGGCACCGGGCTCGACAGCCAGAGATAGGAAGGAAGTTTGTACGAAAATGAACCCAGTTATTTGCTCTTTTAAGGAGACCTAGTTATGGTTTTAATTCCCTACATGCTCTTAATCAAGATCCTTTTTTTAAAAAAAAAGTCATGAAATATTTATATCCAGCGTGTTCAGGAAATAGCTTCTCTTGTGCCCTGTTTTCACCATGAATACAAAACTCAGACATTTTAAAATCCAGCGTGTTCAGGAAATAGCTTCTCTCGTGCCCTGTTTTCACCATGAAAACAAAACTCAGATAGACATTTTAGACGGAGGAGAGCGTGTCCTACAGTTATCCAACACTAAGGCTTAGCTCTCTTCAAATCTCTCAAGGAAACAAGAGGAGAGAACAGGTCACAGAAAGGAATGCAGTTTGAAAACAAAGGAAATTTATATCTGACATAAACTGCAGAAACTAAATGCTCCTTTTAAATGATGGCAAATGCAAACAAAGCTTCATGCTATTATTGTTCCCTTAATGTATTTATTTTGTACATTTGGAGAAACTGCCAGTGACCTGCATCAATTACCCAGCTTCCAACTCTTCCGAAGGAGAATAATTGACTGTGGTGAATTGGGAGGATCAGCAGCATTTCACCAGCCCAAGGAAGAACGATATTTTGAGGCCAAAGGAGGAAGGTGGAATGCTGTGCTCCAGGGATGTCAAAATTTGGGGCTAGAATTATAAAACAAGGCCACTGACATCCACAGTTCAAAAAAGATGGGTAAGTGATCAGGCATGAGCCGTGGGAACATTCAGTCCCTCCCCTATACCTTCCCCTCTGCAAAAGAAATTCCCCCTTCTAACCTTAACAATCGTTAAAGGAAATACTGGCACTGGCCTTAGCATTAATGAGTTAGACCGCAGATCCTGGAATAAAGAGACCTGCAGTAAAGGAGTGAAGGAAAGCGATATGTTCCACTCATTCCCAAAACAGGCTTATTGCTAAACTGTGATTAAAAGAACAAAGTCTGAGTTCAGTGGCACCTTCAACAAAATTTAATTCTGTGTATAAGCTTTGGTGTGCAAGAACACTTCGTCAGATACATTGAAACACCAAAGCCTATGCACAGAATTAAGCTTTATTGCTCTTAAAGGTACCACTGGACTCAGACTTTGTTCTGTTGCTTCAGACCAACATGGTGACCCACCTGAAACTGTGAATAAAAGAGAAATAGCATAATACCTGTGCTAGCCTACCTGGCAACAGATCAGGAATCTCTAGCCTTGCAGAAGGCCACCTAAAATTCTCAGAAAAGGCAAGATTTGAAGCAGAGACTTCTCCAAAGGCCATATCACAAAACATATGGGGTACCCATATCCCCAAACATATAAGTTAGCTGTGAAAGAGCAGCTGTAGAAGGGTCCACTATGAATCAGGGTTACAAAGCTGGATAATTATTCCCCCCCACCATTGCCAAGTCCCCAATAGGAAACTCCCCCCATTCCCCTCCAGCTGCTTTAAACAATAAGGGTGAAAGAAACAATATGGGTATCTATGCTTCCCCCCCTCCTTAAAGCAGCCAAAGAGAGATTTTTTTCCCAACTAGGGGGAAGAGTTCATCCCCCTCCTTTCCCAGTTCTACAGCCCAGATCCTTAACCGAAGCTGCCAGCAGCTGCCTTCTTGCGGCTAAAATCCACATCTGGAGATCCCATCACTAATACTCAACATGATTCTGCGGTTTGGCACCGGGCCTCGAGGGAATTCAGTGGCTCGGTATCACGAATGTCTTAGTCAATGGCCAAAGCAAAGAGATGAGGACCTCTGATGAAGTTCAGTTTACACACCTTATCTTCAGTATTCATTGGCTCCCACCCCTGCTCCCATCTTCTGCTCCCCATCAAATTGTGCCTTGGATCAGTGGAGCCCCAGGAATATGAGAGAATGCGGGGGGGGGGGCTGCATTGAGAGGGGAGAACTGGCAAAAATGGCCCAGCCCTCCTCTAGGACGGCCAAGTCTGGGTTAGCAAATACCTGGAGATTTGGGGGGTGGCATTTGGGGTTATAATGCCATACAGTCCACCTCCCAAAGCAGCCGTTTTCTCCAGGGGAACTGACCTCTGTCATCTGGAGACCAGTAATGATTCTGGGAGATTTCCAGCCAGCCCCTGGAGACTGGCAGCCTTCTTCTGTGACCAGAAGTGCCCACCATAAGCAGAAGAGGGCATTTTGGATCCAAGTCAATACACTTCTATCCTAAGTTTATATGCAGCTCCCAGTATTCTTCCATCCCAGCCACTGACGTGCTTAGTTTGAGTCACACAGCATCAATGCCGTGTTCCCAGGTCAACCTCTGGGCCCTGTACGGTTTCTTGAGAAATGAGGCTTTTGTGTGAACTTGGGTTCCAGGCACAAAGAGATCACCACAGGAATTAAATCCAGATACAGAATCTGAGACACAATGTGGAATCTGAAATCAAGTCATTTTGTAGTGGGTGGAAAGCTACCTAGGGGTTAGAAGGGCAGTCATTTGGCTCTTTAAAATGAAAAGGGGCAATTCTTTTGAGGAGGATGAAGGGGAAAAAATAAGGAGCATAATAAATAGGGCAGGTGCTTCAAAGAGTAAGGCTCAAGGGTGTGTAGCTTTCCTCCAACTTTTTAATGTGCTATCCGCTAGTTACTTTTCCAGAACAAGTGAGAGAATGGCTTTTGCAGCCATTACATGGGAGGAACTAGGAACTTCTGTTGTGTTATTGAAACACTTAAATTAATACAAACAGCAATTCTCATGTTGATACTTCAAAATCCAAGAGACTTTCTAAAACTGTATTTTAAGCTTCCACTGTCATCACTTAATTAATCTCTGGTCCTCTATTTAGCCTCCTATCCCAGGCTGAGACTGAACAGAACTGCAGTTTAATACAACACCAGCCAGCACACTTGTGAACTGGTCTCTTCATTGGTTGATTTCAAGAACCATGTTATGATGCTCCCTGTCCACTTCCCTCCCTCAGAGGCAAGATTTTCCATCCCTTTTTCTTTCCCTGTTTGACTGAGCAGCCCTAATAATGTGTTTTCTTCTTTCCTGAAGAATTCTGGTTGTCCCACCCTGTCACAGTATAACATTGTGGCTATTCACTCAGCCTAGGAACCTGAGAGAAGGATTGGGAGCCCCCTTTGACTTAAATAGCACTTAAGATATTTTTATATTACAAATTAACAAAATATTTTATTCAACATAGAGAAAGGTCAGGTGAAATCAGGGGTTGAAAATTTCTGAGGTAACTCAATATAGATAACTCTGAGGTAAAACCTGTACATGCACAGACTTTAGTTCTTATGTTTCAGACTAATGAGAGTTTCTTAAGCTGTTCAGAGTTACCTTAAATCCTTGTGCTGAGAGGTTTTTGTTGCAGTCCTTTCCCAAATACTCCCGTATACTCTCTTTGAGTATTCTCTGACACTTTTGGTTTCCAGAAGGCTGGTATACTCTTTCCATTACCCAAACCCCTTCTCTTAAAAAACCAGTACTTATCTTGAGTTTTTAACTAATTCTTAAGATCTCCAAAGACAGTTTCTACCACACCAGACCAGGGATCTCTGCATTCTCCAGAGCTAACTCCCTGTTTGACTGGGTAGGAAATTCTCCTATCGCTAGAAGATCTATCCATTCTTTGGCATGAATGGGAGTCTTTGCCAGCCTCCTAAACTTCCTTGCCAACTTTTCCCCAGTTCTCCTGTCTATGTTAAAAATGCTTTCAGTCAGGGTTGAATTCCAAAACTGTCAGTACTTGACTCTTCTCAGCTAGGGCTGAAATCAGACTGAATTCTCTTCAGCATCCAGTTCAGAAGTCTTTGTCTGCTCAACTGATGTTAACCAATCAGATCTCTTGGAACAGCCTGTTGCTCAAGGCTCTCCGACTCTGTGAAGAATTAACCCTTCACAGTCCTTCATCTGTTTTACACAGCACGTCTAAGCTTTTACAAAGTGCAATCTGTCACACATGCCTTTAGGACAATACTTAAAACTTTATGGTTGCCAAGTCCCCCCTGGCCATTGGGGGGGGGGATATAGTTGCCAGGTCCAGGTTGGGGAAACTCTGGGAGATTTGGGGGCGGAGGCTGAGGTGGACAGGGACCACAGCAGGGCACAATGCCATAGAGTCTACCCTCCAAAACATCCATTTTCGCCAGAGGTACTGATATATGTAATATGTAGATGAATTGTGATTCCAGGAGATCCCCAGGGCCCACCTGGAGGCTGGTACCCCCACTTAAAATTATTACAAGGGAAGCTTACTATTATACTTCACCAACATCAGCTTCCATTGAAAATGGCATCAGGACTTAACTGAATGTCCTCCAGTTTTAATGGGGAGTCGTTCCCCCAAATATACTTTGGCCTGATTCATGCTTATCTGTGTCACCAAGAAGTTTCATGTGGTAAGGGAATGGTAAGGCCCTTCTACAAACATATTTTGCTTATTGTACCACAGATTCCATACAGGTGTCCAAATAGGGAAAAGACCTGATTTGCATGACCATACACATACGTACCCACTTTTTTAGAAGACCCTCACAAACAGGACAAGTGAAGGCTATTGAGAGTTATGGAATCAGAGACTGAAAATCTTCTCCAGAAAGTGGCAATTTTGGATCATCTCTACATGTCATTCAGACGGGCCAATCACACTGCATACGTGCTAACAGCATGGCAAACTTGGATAATTAAAACTAAGGACTGTTTGGTGTGCACTTATGTACATATCTGTTTCCCAACCAGCCACTTTGGTAATTCATGTCCTTTAAATACAGAAAACCATAATCTCCCATTAATTTGGGTTCTTCACTAATGGTGTCATTATACACATGCACTTCTCTCTTCTGTGTGCAAAACTACAACTATAATGAAGCCATTCAGTACTCAAATGTTTTATATTTAGCTTAAACATAAAGGTAGCCTGTAAAATTATGACCTGAAATATAATGCATCTTTATCTCTATATTTAAGCGTGTACTACTAATCCTGTGGGTTTTAGTTTAAAAAAAGAAAGAAAGAAAACCACAGTCATTCATAAAATCACAAAGTGCTATTCATGCTGCTCCAAGTCTTTAAGCATTCACAATTGTTTTTCAAAAAGGAAGCCCTTAGGGGAGACAGAATCAGGTATAACTGCTTTTGAAGATAATTTGCCATAAATAAGCATTGTCCCAAGACTCAATTTGCCTCTCTCTTTAAGGAAGTGGTTACTTCTTTGGCTGGACCTTGCCAGTCATCTATGAAGCACAGTAATTAAGGCACGTTAAGCATCAGTGACAATGTGACATGAACCAATTCAAGGAGATCAAGGGCAGGATGGACTCACCAATATACTTCCTCCTGCCTTGGGCTGTCTTGCCAAGCTCACGCCCATCCATTCATCATCTCGGTCCTCCCTACAGGTCTTCCCACAGGGTGCTCCTTGAGTATTACCTACAACAAATGCAGGCCAGAGATCAGAACAATGTGACACTTTCTGTAATCTCTACAGCAAAGGAGCATAGGAGCATACAACGTGTAGTTCTCAAATGAGCCCACCCGCTTTCTTAATGAACTCAAGAGTGCTTCAGCATCTGCGTAACTCTGTTCCATAGGGCACTTGCAATGTGTCACCAGGAAACTGGCTAAGGAGCTTTCTAATGGCACAGAGGTCAACTTCTAAACCATTTTCTAGTGCCAGTTTGCATCTTATGCTGACACGCTGTCCAATGCTTTCTTTTCATCCTCTCAAAGGTAACTGAAAACTCCCACCAGCAGTCAAGGAAATAACACTAGCACTGTATGAACACCAGAAACAATAATCAAAAGTTTAAGAGGAAGCAATGAGGACAAATGTCCCAAGAGGAGCTGGGAGTTCAGATTCCCCTACGAACTTCAAAAAGCATTTGACTCAAGGGTCCCAAGATGCTGTTCATTTAGGAGCCAGGAAGAAGAAGCTGGATGTACTTTTGGCTCAAAACACACCCCTTTTCAGCTAACTCCCGTCTTGTAACCACTGCAGAGAGGGGTACATAAGAACATAAGAGAAGCCAATGTTGGATCAGGCCAATGGCCCATCTAGCCCAACACTCTGTGTCGCACAGTGGCCAAAAATACCCGGTGCCATCAGGAGGTCCATTGGTGGGGCCAGGACACTAGAAGCCCTCCCACTGTTGCCCCC